TTTCCTTTGCTACCTTCAAATAAAATTTTAATATTATCAAAAGATTACAATTATATTATTTAGACCAATTAATTTCACTAGATGGTTGCCATCTTATTAACTGAAAAAATGTCAGATATTGGCTTCCTATTTTACTATCAAAATTTGCTAGAATAGATTCTTTTTTCTTAAATAGACTAATTTTTAATCTAGTTGTTCTAATCCTTTAGATAGATCTCTTAAATTAGAATATAGATTAGCTGATAATCATTCTTTTATTTTACTTTATGATTTAGATATAAACCTCTTTGATACTAGAAAAGAATATGTCACCTTCTGGAATATACCCACTAATATCAATATTTATGGATAAGTTACTAGAAAACACCCTCATACAGAGACAGCTAATATTCGCTATTTCAATTTAATTACAAATGATATAGGTCTGGAAAGCCTTACTAAATATCCTAGTTGTTTCTTTAACAATAAAAAAAATGTGTATCTAAAGTTCCACTTCAAAAAATTGTTAAAATAGATATTATAGGCAAAAAACAACATCAAAAAGTTATGTTGAAAAACTCTCCTTATTTATCTTTATTCAAACTCACCTTTGTGTAACAAATAAGGTCTCTTTAATCACTCCTTTGCCTCAACTTAATAAAATCACAAACTCAATAATATCTCAATTTATCAATGAACTGCAATATATTAATTATCTTTCAGAGATAACTATTTCACTCTCTTCCGCTTTTTCCCTATATTTTTATACAAACAGCATCTCCTTTATAATCACAATAATATATAAAAATATAATCACATTAATTTTTTAGTCTCATCTTATAATGAATGTAAGAAAATCACCTTCTATATAATTTTATATAATCACAGTAAATTATATCTATATTAATTTTATTATATATTAAAAAGAGTATGATTTCTGTTAATACTATTCAATTCTTATGAAACAATTACCATTTGAATTCTCAAAACTAGACGAATCCAATAAATCAATAAACATTGATTCAGATTATCCAATCACAAAATAATCACAATTAAATAGTTGGTCAAAATTATAATTTAATAAATTATACTTAAAAGAACCTAATTTTAACATTTAATCACGAATATCTTATGATCAGCTAATCATAATTTTGATATATATTAGCTCATTAAAGAGTTTTAGGATTCAATAGTTTTTTTCCTTTTAACAATGTAGTACTGTCATAAGTTTATTAAAATTTTATAATATATACTAAATAAAAAATTACAAAGTAGAATAAAATAACTAAACTGTGACTATCTCACATAGTCCTATTGTTAATATAAGCTCAAATTTGTTTAGATTGATTGATCATCAGAATCCCTCTCCAACCTAGCTATAAATGAAGTCAAAATGGATTATTTCAGATATCTGAAATAGTCAAAATGGTCAAAATCATTTTTTTTCTTTTTTTTTTAATACTTTTACTAGGCATATGCTGATAGTAAAGTTTAGCTGCATACTCTTTAACAAAATAATATAACTTACAATATATACTTACTACTATAACCCCTTTAATATATAACAATCCAGTGTGAATTTGCGTTAAACCTAGGTAAATAGGTGTTACTACCTAAGTAGATTGCAAACCACTAAATCTCATAGTAAAGTACTTTAGTATCTATCATCATTCACATTTATCACAACTACTGAAAAGAGGGTCAAAAACAACCTAAGATGATAGCTTAAACCATAGTTACCTTGCCATACATCAAAATCATCCTAAAAATTGAACTTAGACCTCCAAATCTTAGTTGTCATATGGAAACGTTCAGTAAAATCAAGTCATAAGGCATAGTAAATCATATGACCTGTAATGTAATTTTACTGGAAACACTCCTATATAGACACCACAATGGTTAAAGACAGTGCAATATTAACCACCTATAACCTGCAATTATTGTTCAACCCAAGTTATACAATGCCTACCCTTAATCCTACCCTCACAGATACCCTTTGCAAACAATGTGATACTTGTTCATTACAGACAAGCCTCTTGACAATAAATAAATAGTTTAATCTCAAATATCTTAAAACTTAAAATAGCCTTAAATATTTTAAAAAAGTATTATTATCTTATCTTATCATCACAGATTATTAAATATATAAAAAACTAATATATAGGAGGTTTGCTAGAAAAATAAGACTCTAAGTATTTTTTATTTTTATTACATCTTAATCTAATATTATATAAAATTATAATGCAATAAAATTAAAATTTTAATAAAAAATGCTTAGAACTCTATTTTCTTAGCAAACTTCTTATATAACATAAGTTATAAGGATAAAGTAACAAAGGATAGTTAAAAATCTTTAAACATTAAATTTAACATTATATTTCTCATGATATTCTAATTTGGATTAGTTCAACTTTAATATAATCTTATTCTATAATATATTAAATTTTATTTAATTTGAATCAGTAGAAGCTGAGATATTTATATAAATAAAAATAAATAAATTTTTTGATTTTAGATTTTAGTTAAAGTTTTTAAATATATTTTCTAAATATTTAATGATTCAAATTAAATAAAATTTTAATATATAATAAATCAATATATTATTTATAAAATATAAAATTAAGATTATTTAAATAACTGATTATTAAAATAATTAATATATTTAAAACTTAATATTTATCATTATTATAAATAATGATACCTGACGAAATTACCTTTCTTAATGTGATGAAATTGACGAAACCAAAATGACGAAACTAGTTTTTTATTAATGATGAAATTATTTTACTTAATTGCCGAAATTATATTTAACTTGATCTAAATTCCTTGAATTAAAATACATTAAAAAATATAATAATTTTGTATTTATTTATATAAAATATTACAGAGATAAAATTTTTGACGAAATTACAATTTTTCAAAAAAGAGTTTAGTCAGGTATCACTAATTATAAAAGATTGTTTATATCAAATATATATATATATTTTTAATAATAAATAATTCAAATCATCTTAAATTTTGATATTTTATAAGTAATATATTTATTTAATAGAATATTTCTAACTATAACCAGCAATTACAATTACAGAATCATGTAATATATAATTTTTTACTTTATTAATATACTAACGTTAATTTACCTAATCTTAGTAAGTTAAGAATAGCGTTTGTAATAAGTGATAAATAGGTTTTTATATCCTAAAAAAATATTTTCAGATTAAATGATAAAAATGAAATATGGTAGTAATATTCTATATAGATTAGATCAAATCAGATTTAGATAAAATCTGATTTGATCTGAATCTGAAAAATTAGAATCTAATTCAATCTGAATTTAATAAATTCAAATTCAAATCTATATTTGAATCTGATAAACCTAAATTCAAATTCAATCAGAATCTGACAAATCTGAATTTAAATCTATATTTGTATCTAATAAATTGAATCTAAATCTGATAAATCAAAAAATTTTTTAATACTAATCTGTCTCTGATGTTTGAAATAGTATTTTATGTTAAAAAAAATAACAATTTTATTATTTTTAACAAAAATCCATCTCCTAACATTTGAAATGGTATTTTAATATTAAAAAAATACCAATTTTGTTATATTTTTAACAAAATCTGTCTTTGACATTCAAAACCGTATTTTAATATTTAAAAAAACAATAATTTTGATGTATTTTTAACAAAAATCTGCTTGTGACATTAAAATAGAAATTTACATTATTAAACTGTTTAATAATAAATGCAGTGTCTGATTTTTAGAAAAGCATTTTTTATTAAAAATTAATAAAAATTAATTTTTTATAATAAATGCTACTTCTGACTTTTGGGATGGCATTTTATAATTATAATTATAATAAAAATTAATTTTTTAATAATAAATGCTATGTCTGACTTTTATAATAGTATTTCATTATTAAAATTATTAAAAATTAATTTTTTTAATAACAAATACTGTCTCTAACTTTTGGGATGAACTTTATTATTAACAAAAATTTTAATAATAAATATCACCTCTGACTTTCAGGATGGACTTATTATTAAAAAAAATGGTTTTTTTATTTTTTCAATAATAAATGCTACTTCTGACTATCAGAATAACTTTATTATTAAAAAAAAAAAATTTAATAATAAATGTCACCTTTAATTTTCAGAATGAACTTATTATTAAAAAAATAAAGTTTTTTATAATAAGTCCATTCTGAAAGTTAGAGAAAGCATTTATTATTAAAAACTTTAATTAACTTTAATTATAAATGCTATTTCAACTTTTAGAACAGATTTTTATTTCAAATCTAACAAATTAGAACTAAATTCAAATCTGAATCTGTTGGATTAAATCAAATCTGATTTTGAATTTGATCCAAATCTATAGATCAAATCAAATCTAAATCTAAATCTAAATCTGATTCAAATCTAAAAATCCAATTCAATCTAATCTATCAAATCTAAATCAAATTTATATTAAATCTGATTTTTTGCAAAACAATACATAGTAAATATTATATAGTATGATAAACTATTATATAATTATATGATTTGAGCTTTATAATATAATATTACATAATCTAATAATCATAAACTTTAGTAATTACAAGTAATTTTCTATTTATTATATATTAAAATTTATTTAAATTAAATTATATATTTAAAAAAATATATTTAAAAATTTTAATTAAAATCTATAATTATAATTATATATGTATTGTTATATCTTAGTTTCTAATTATTCAAATTAAATGAAAATTAAATATATTATAATTTAAGATTATATTAAAGTTATATAAATATTAAATCTAATTCTAATCAGTTAATCTTATGATATATAATGTTAAATTTTAGTATTCAGTAACTTTTAACTGAGATCAGTATAATTAAAATATTTATGCATTTCTACAAAAATATCTCAGTTTCTATTGATTTAAATTAAATAAATTTTAATTAGTCTAGAGTATAAACAAAAGATCATATATTTCTAAATGTATTGACTCAAGATATAAGAAGATATCCTATTGTCTATCTACTTAAAAAGTGAGTTGATATGTAATTAGTTACTTGTATTACACTTGTTTCAGACTTAATAATAGTTACTATTTCCTAGTATATTATAGATTAAGATTTTATTAAAATTATATAAAAATTTGAACTAATTTTAATCAGTATATTTATAATGTTAAATTTGGTATTCAGAAACTTTAATTATTCTTTGTAAAATTTAGTTATAAATATAATAAATTTAAATGTTTGAAAGAGACTTAATTTTTGAAATATAATAAAGACTCAAATTTGATAACAGTTTATAGAAAAATGATCATATTTATATTTTAAATAACTATTAATTAAGCTATTTACTGTTTATATTATATAATGGATTATATATAATAAATGAAAATTTTCAGGTTTAAGTTAGTTTTTCAATAAATAAAAAAAATAATTTAGGTATACTTACTATTTTTTAAATTGTCTAATAGACAAATTTGCTTGCAAAATTTAAAAAAAAAGTGTATAAAATATTAAATATTAAATATTAATTTTAGTAATATTATTACTATAAATATATTTTTTATCAATTTATTAACAAAGATTTTAAGTTTTTTAAAAGGTTTTTAAAATAATTTAATTTTTAAATTTAAGTTTCAAAAAATTTATTATAATAATTTTTTAAAAGTTTATATGTTTGTATATTAATTATATTAATTGAATCACTTTATTATTAATTAAAGTTATAAAATTTTTTAATAAAAAATTATAATAATAAAAGTTTTTTTTATAAGTAATTTTATAATATTTTATATGATTAATATGATTAAAATAAATTCTAAAAAGTTTATTATAAATTAATCATAAAATTTTTTTAATATAATTTTTTTTTTAAGTAAATTAAATTTTTATTATATAATTAAAGATAAAACTTGTTATAATATATTATATATTTATAAAATTAATTTAAAAATATTAATTATTTATAAAAGTAAATTAGAAAATAATTTATAATAAATAATAAGCAAATTTGCTTGTAAAATTCTATAATCTAAGGGGTAAAATCAATGTTTAAAATTCATCATTATTAGCTTAAATAATTTATGATTATATATAAAACCTGAGTAAAAAAATTATATACACAATTAATAAATTTATTACTAAATAAGAAAATAATAATAATTTCTTATATAAAATTATTTTTTTTATAATAATTTTTCTATTTTAATAATAATTTATGCATATTTTATATTATGTAATATGTGTATATATAAAAATTTATACATATTATATATATAAATTTTATATATTATTTATTATTATATTTGAAATAATAATTATATTAACTATGTATATATAATTGACTCACTTTCTAGTCACTTCCTATATACTTATAGGTGTTTTCAAAAAACATTTTTTATGTTGTACAAGAAATATTGATTTGCAATACCTTTATTAACGCATTTTTCCATGTTTTCTGGTATTCTCAAAACAATTTGATTATCATTTAATGTTGTATTATTCAATTCATCAATTTTTATTAAACATTTATGATATGGATGTTTGTAATTGATAGAATTGAATGTTAATGTTATGATCGAACTTTCTGGAAGGATATCTAATATCACAGAAATAAATGGAAAATATCATAATTCGCCATTTTTTGTTTGCAGGTCAAACCCAATATCTTCATAATCAAGCAGTGGCTTTGTTAGGATATCTAACGAGTACTGATAAAGAATTTGTTTGCCAATTGAAAGCTTTCAGATCTTTTTTCAGAGATAGTTTTCACTTTTAATTGTGCAAGATATCCTAAAAGAACCTTGACATATTAGGTTTATTCCTAATTCAACTAGAAATATTTCTTAATGTTAAGTAGATATGATGTTTGCTAGTTTTACCCAGATGGTTGCAAGTTATCACGTCTGAATATAATATGATAGATAAAACTATTGCACTATCAGAAATTGATTGTTATACACTTTTTCACTATTTCCCATTATATTGTTCGTAGTAAACCTTTTGACCTTTATGATATAATACCTTAAATTTAAAAACACAATGTTGAAATATACTTCTATTTTCTAACAATTGCTTTATAATATCAAAAATATGACGATGATAAAGATAGTATATTTTATCATTATATAACATTATTGGCATTTTATCAAAGGAATTATGCAATACATTTATCTGATCTAACAATTGACATTCTTGCTTTGTTGAAGTTAGTAAAATTACATTATCACAGGAGATTTTTTGAGCAAACTTAAGTATATCACTGCCACATGCATCTGATAAATTCCATTTAATAAGCAATTCCATAAAATCTTCATATTCCTCACTTGGGAATTCTAGACGAGCTGAGCTACTAGTAATATCGAGGGACTTAATGACCAGAGTTGATTTAATATTAAGTAACTGATGTTTAATTTCGACATTTTTGTTTATTATCCACTAGTATATTAATATTTAATAAGTATATTATATTTGTACAACCAAAGTATAAATTTAAGCATACTACTTGATCATCATCATCATTATCTTCATCATCAGTATTAACCAACTCTTTGTTAACATTAACTAACTCTCCTTCATTAATGTTAACCAACTCTCCTTCAAGGATATTAACTAACTCTTCTTCATGAACATTAACATTAACCAACTCTTCTTCGTTAATATTAACTTCAGAAAAATTAACCAGCTCTTTTTCATTAATGTTAACTTCAAGAAAATTAACTAGCTCTTCTTCATTAATGTTAACTTCAAGAAAATTAACCAACTCTTCTCCTAGTTGGTTCTCATACTCATAGCTCATCTCGTTTTCACTTTCTAGTTAGTTATCTTCTTTTGTAATCATTATTGTTTCTTCTTCATTTTTTTCTTCGTTTTCTCAATCATTTTCTTCGTTATTTCTTTCGATATTTCTAACTGGTCCCCTTTCTTCAGAAATTTCATGTAAAATTCTATCAATTGCACTATCATGCGTCTTTATATAGTTTCGTAAAGAAGCGTAACAGGAGAATTATCTCCTATAATGTTCACATTCATAAGACATTTTTGTAAGTTTTTAAAATACAATTTTTACAAAAGAATATTTTGAATATTTCACTAATCATCTATAATCTGAAAATGATAGTTTAAATAAGTATTTAACAATGCAATTATAGTAATGATACGATTCCAGATTCATTCAACAATATAATGGTAAAATAACTGGCAATGATTATCACTTTTACAAAATATGAATTATTGCTTGGCGTGAGTATTTATCACTAGTGAACAGTATTAATTGACTTTTGCAATGATTATATTAAGTTGACTAATGATTAAATTGATAATATGCAGTGTCAATAAACTAACAATTCATCATATTAAATATGATAATTTGATTTACAATCAGTACATGACTGGAAAATTCAAACTATAATTGAATTAATAATTTAAAAGAATTGAGAAAATATTAACATCCCTTTTTTCTTTCTTATGCCTCTTACTAACTAAATTGATCTTTTAATAATGAATAATGACAAAAATAAAGATAAATTTACTCTGAATTTAAATTCTTTGAAACATTCAAGAATAAGATCAGTAAGTATAAAAAAAAAAAAAAAAGAGGTAATTATTAACTGGTAACTATTTTAATTTTATTGTGTATTGTTTGTAAATCATAATAATTGTTTAAGTTTATTATGTTATCTTTTAAATAATTGTTGAACAAGATAAAATTCTGAAGATAAACTTGTTTGATAAAAATAATATTCAAGTAATATTTATTTATTTGTTATTGTTCTTTCAGTCTTTTTTATTCTTTTATTTAATAATATTTGTTATTGTTCATTTTATAAATATAAATATATTTATGTTTTATGTCAGGTAACAAGCGAATCGCCAATAAGACCTTCATTTTCTAATCTTCCTTTGATGTTAATAACTCCTCCTTTTGCTGTCAAAATAACAGCACGTAAAGACATGTTACCTAACAAAATGGTATCTAAAGAAACAAAATCTAAAGCGATGACATTGATAGTAATAGCTTAAAAAATAACAACATCGACGGCAATGACTCAAAAAGCGATGACATCAATGGCAACAGCTCAGAAAGCGATGATGGTTGATCAAAGTAAACAAAATCTATACTAGTATTTCAAGTATTGCTATTATCAATGTTATTTAAATCGAATTTCATCAATGATAATTTACTAGCAGTTTGTGATTTGACCAAATTAATTAAAATTGGTCAAAATAACTCTATAAAACTTAAATCGGTGGTGCAAAGTCAAGAAAGACTAGAAGTTATGTTGATTGAACAAAATGGTTATATTGCAACAATAATGTCAAAGTTGGAAAAACTAGATATTCTAAATATAATATCAACTGAAGTCAAAGTGAAAGGCGGAAAAGGCAAAAGAAAAAATAAAGAAGAATTTTATCAAGTAAATATAATTTTATATTATTTTTTTATATTGTTTTGGTGCTATACTAATTACTTGTATTATAGGATGCAATTAGTGATATCTGACTAAACTCTTTTTTGAAAAATTGTAAATTCATCAAAAAATTCGTCTCTTTAATATTTTTATATGAATAAATATAAAATTATTATATTTTTTAATGTATTTTAATTCAAGGAATTTAGATCAAATTTCAGCAATTAAGTAAAATAATTTTGTCATTAATAAAAAACTAGTTTCATCATTTCAGTTTCGTCAATTTCATCATATTAAGAAAGGTAATTTCGTCAGGTATCACTAGATGCAATTAAAAAACTTTCTTATGAACTATTTCATGAGTACCAACAAGTAAATGACATATAAATGAAAACACGTTTCAAAGCTAAGTTAGAAAATGATCAGTATTGTATTGAGCAACTTCAGAAGTTGTGTGATAAAGGTATTTTGTTTGATCAATTATAGAGTGGAAAATTATGTTCAGCGGTAAGTAGTATTTATTTTATATGATATAATCTACATATCAGTTGAGAACTTTTTATTAATTTATTTAACACAGCATTTTTAATATATTAGCTTCTTCATGCAAATCACGTAAAGAAAGGTTATTACATAAGAAGATTAAAGAAGAGTCTATAGAGTACTTTCAGAGTAACCAGAATAAAGTCTTATAAAGATAGTTTTAGCAAAGAGCAGATGAAAAATGGAAAGAGAGTGAAAATGTTAAGAAAGTTTATGAGGATTTGTACGTGCTATACAACCCAAATAATCTATCATCTGATACTTACATTACATTAATTATTAAGTTCATCTTTGCATTCAAAAAAGAACATATACATGCAAATACCATTTGGGTTTAATTGGTATTAGAAGTTATCTTTGATGAAAGACACCTTTTGACAAAAATTGACTTAGAGGTTATTGAATCTTAGACTGAAAATTTAACAAACGTGAAAGCGGTGAATACTTATGCGTTTACTAGTATTTTTGAAACCAATTAAATTACTAATGTTAAAATACTTTATTTAGGATTATTGTAGTAGTAACGATAATGATGGTACTAATACTAATGATAATGATGGTAGTAACAATAATGACGTTAGTAATGATAACAATAATAATAACGATAATGATGGTGTAAATCCATTTTTTTGAATGAATAATTTGTCTATTGCAGTTAATTGCCAAGATGCTAAGAAAATTTGTGAAATTTGAGAATTAATTTAGTGATAAAGGTGTTAAAAGGAAGATGTTATAAGTCATAAAGAAATTAGTATTTTATTTTAGCATGATTAGTATATCATAATAACTCAGCTATATCATGAACGCGCTTTTTATTAATAAATTTTACTACATATTTGCATATTAATAATCATACAAATTGGTGTTGTTATACATATTTTTAAATGGTGTTGTTTTACTATAGCGTTGCTTTACATTTAAATTGTGTTGTTTTACATGTTTTAAATGGCATTGATTGACAAAGGGTTCATTGCGTAACACTTTTTGGCATTGATCAATACGTGATGTTGATTGATACATTCATTGCCTATTTCAAACATGCTGATGTAGTCAGTGATGTATATTTTCAATGTCTCAAACATTTTGAGACTGTCCCACATTATGTCCTAAAATGTCACACATTAAGTCCTAATGTCTCAGGTCATGTTCCAAAAATGTCCTATAACAACACTAGATGTAGTATCAACAAATGAAGTTTTTAATGGTCTTAAAACATGAATGTAATATTTAGAAGGACAGGAAAATGAAGAATTTGATATGAAAATATGCAAATTTTTAAAAAAAATATGAGAATTATGCAACGAAAAATTTTTGATAGTAAAATACAAAAAAATATTACTAGTTTTTTTAATTAATATATCTTTTAACGCATTTATAATAAATATATTTGATAATAAATAATTTTATAATATAACCTCTACTTAATTACAATATTATAAAATTACTTATAATGTGATTATATTAAGGTATTCAATATTAGTTACACCTCTATATAAGCACATATTTTACATATTTCCAACTGCGTGAATATAAAGAGATATATGACTGTATTAGTTGTTTTATAAGTATTTCAAATACTAAGTTTTATAATTCTTAGCCAAATGAACTAGAACTTCCTTATAAAAGAAATTTCAAATAAAATTTATATTTTGCAGAGGAATACTTTATTAAGAAAAGAGTATTTTTTTCAAAATACTCCTAAATAATACTTAATAAATAACCTTTTAGATATTTTATTGAAATAAAAGTTTAAGGTTATTCTGATAATTCTAAAAATTAAAATTTTTATTAATTTATTTTTAAAAAAAATCAGAACAAAAAATATTTATATTATTTTTACATTTTATTAAAAAATAATATATAAGAATTTAAAATTTTCTTTTAAAATATGGGTTGTGATCTAAGAAAATCAAGTTCTGAAAATTTTTTGACTAAAATTAATATCTTATTACATTTAATCTAAATATAATAAAAATTAAAATGCAATTAAAATCTCAATTTTGATAAAAAATTCTTAGAACTTAGATCACAACCCATATAATAAATTTTATAAATAAATAAAAAAATATTAATTTTCGTAATATTATTTTATAATATATTTTTATTAATTTTATTTAAAAAGTTTTTAATAATTCAATTTTAAAAAATGTTTTAAAAAATTTCTAATCAGGAAATTAATTATTTGTTTAAAACAAATAAATAAACTAAATAATCAAATTTTATTAATTAAAAAATAAACATAACCGACACGATAAATATCTACCAATAAAAATCATGCATTTTTTTCGAGTTGTCACGTTATAAATATGTTCCTTATTTTATTTTCAAATGGCGCGATTGCACATAACGTTAAATTCAGTCTGGAAATGTAAAAAGAGAAATCAGTTGATATTTTTCATTTTTTTTTAAAATTGGTCTTGATTAATTTAATGTATCCCACAGAATTTGCTACAAATCCGCCCAATTTCTAAGTATTAATTATATATCCTTCAGATTCAAAAAAGTATAATCGCGTTATTCACAACAAAAAAAAAAATAAAAAAAAAATTAGAAAGGTAGACTAAAATTTCTATTTTTAATAAAAAAAAAAATTATATATATATATATAAAGCAGTTTATCTTTCTCAAATAATTTGTAAAGGGGAAAGGTCTCTCTTATTCTGTCATTGTTATTAAAATCAATTATTCCCTTCAAAAAATTAATTTCAACGATCTATAAATCAGAAATTTTCAACCAAATTTTTTTTTCCCGTATCATCTATCATTTTGAAGCTAAATTTTCTGGTCTTAAATTTTTACATCACAAAAAAAAAAGGAAAAATTAAAGCTAAAAACAAAAATATACATGCCGTTAAAAACGGCAAAAGAAAAGAATATACAGATTCACGAAATAGGAATTAAGATAAGAATAATAAAATTAATTCCAATAAAATTTCCGTGATACATATAGTAAAAGAAAAAAAATATATTTAAACCAGATAAACAAATAGGTTAAAGAATTATTGAATTATTAAATTGCAATGGCTTGCATTGCTCATTTTCCAAATGTCCTTATAAAATTTTTATTGAACTTGCGAAATCCAATCTATGGAGAGACAACACAAATGATAAAAATGCAGGACCAAGAAAGTCTTATTATGTTGATGATTCTAAATGGGATGCAATCAATTAAAGTGATGTTAAAGACCAGTAAGTAAATAAAGGAAAAAGGAATAATCCATTGAAGTTAATGAAATATGGATTTACGCAACATCCAGTCCAATCGTTCCCAACGGAAATATATTATATATATAATCAAATCTTGCTTGCTTTTTCACCTAATACATTCTATCTTATCCTCGATGAATTATGGCGTGATGTGCATGTGCATGTTCGAGGTGGTATTTTAAACCATTTGGATTTTTGTATCGTTTTTCACATTCAGGATAATTGCATCTATAGGGTTTAATAGCCGGCTTCTTTTCCTCCGTATCCGATAGAGCAGACCGATGTCCATGTTCAGCGTGGTACTTTAAACCGTTTGGATTCTTGTAAGACTTGATACAACCTGGTACTGTACATTTAAAAGGTTTGTCATTAGCCTCTTGGGTGGCAGCCTTTGTGACGCGATGACTCTTCGTTTTCAGACTGTTGTGATGAGACGCGAGGACATGGTGAGGGTGAGTATGTTCTGTAGAATAGTCTGGTGTATGATAATAGGACAATTTTTCTGTCTCGTAAGTTTTATAACCGTTGCTTTTCATGCTGTTTGTAAAAGAAAGCTGGGTAAGATCTTGATGCGTATTTGGAGTTAAAGTGGTCTGAAAGTATTTGGACTGACAGATAGATTGATCAATATCAATATTGTTTAGTTCCATGATAATAAATTTCCTTATACTTAGGCGTTAGGTTTTTTTTTTTTGCAATTTTTTTTTTTTTTTTTTTTTTTTTTTTTTCACTGAAACAAAGCCAATGAAATTAGTAAACAAAGATTGACGTCAAATATACTATGACATCATGCTCACTTCTAATAAAGAGGAAATTGTTTTTTTTGCACGAGCTATTATATCTTGCGTGAGGTACGTGTAACCATGAAACGAGATCAATGGCCTTGTCCAGCAAAGAATATCAAAAAATTTTTTTGCTCATTTTGATTGGCCGCGGACTCTTTTTTTCGGACTTTTACGGGCGTTACTGCAACTTCTAAAACGCCGATCATCTGATGCTACCTAGCCAAAAATAGAAAGCGAAGTCTAATGGCGCAAAATTCGCCCCCACCAAGTTTACATATATTGAAAAAAATTCACAAGTACAAGAGTACAAAAGTTACATAAATCGGGGAAAAAAAATATATCATATTCTATATAAATAATTTGGATTTGATATTAGGTAAAAATAAATATTTATATATTTTTTTATAACTAAAATAATTAATATAATTTAATATTTAATTTTAAATTAAATTTTCAATATTATATAATTTATATAATAATATTGGTATATTTGTATAATCTAAATTTATTTATAGGTATTTTGCAGTAAAAAAGAACTAAAAAATCTATACTAAGTAATAATACTTAATTATGCTTTTTTAGCTATAATTTATATCTGAATTTTGATATAATATGCTAATATTCTAATATTATATAATTAAGAATTTGTTAATAGTATGTTAGAATAAATTCAATCATATATAGAAGTATTACTAAGTATTAATTATTTAAAATGAAATGTTAAGCTTATCTTGCTTTAAATTAAATATAATTACAATTTATATTATTAATGTATTAAAATTATAAATTTTATATTAGTTTAAAAATTATTTAGATATTTTAGGTATTTTCTTATATTTACTTTTTATTTTATATATTTATATATTTAATTTATGCTGCTTCAACAAATAGTTTTATTTAACATTATACTGTATATAATAAAAAAAATTAAAAAGGATAAAAGAATTAAATTTAAATATAATAAATTTTAAATATAACTTATATAATGATTAATCTTATACAAATTATAAATATTTTATTTGTATGTAATATTTACACAAAAAAAATTTCTATTTTTTCAAATTCTATACAAAAGAAAGATTTTATTGAATAAAGAAAAAAAAAAAAATACAAAATATTTTTAAA